TCATTATTAGGTTCGCTAGTCTCATGATTGACTCGTTGCTTATCCTATTTCCGGATCTAATCTCTGGGTGTAGATATAAGGTCAACCCTAATGACTACGTGGTCCCATTTCTCGGTATATTCGTGTAAACCCAACCTATATCAAACCTTACAAGCAAATCTTCTTGTTTTAATATTTGCTCATCTATTAACTAAATAAAGTCATTGGAATTATTTAGTAAAAATTGCCCAAATCCTGATATTTGCTTTAATCGTCCACAAAGGAATTGCGATGTTTTATGCATCACATTGCCCCTATTGGTCACGATGATCATACTTCGATTGCTTTAGTCAATGTAAATTGGATTCATCGATACTCCCACCATAGAATGTGATATGGGAATTTGCCTGGCCTTCCTTGAAATTCACATATTCCCTTTCTCCCAAGGTCACTCTTGGCGATGTTGCATGATGGTTTCAGTGACGCGATTATACGTTGAACTTCTTGGCTCGATTCCCGCTAGGGGTGCTTTTGATACCAATTTATGCGATGCTAAAACTGCAGTTCTCTCCTTCTTGGATGAGAATACCTTCTTCGAAGCGAGGCTATGTGAAATTGAGGTTTATTCATTTTCTTGTAAAAATATTCAGCTACCTGTCCCCCCCTTACCTGAAACTAAGCAGAGAGAACGTTTAACGCGTTGTAATTCGTCCTGTAGGAGACGACAGGAATTTTCAAATAAATACAAGCACCAGATGACTAAGAGGGTGTTTCTGTCGTCTTCTGGTGGAATTGGCCTCTTGAACCAATTAATGATACACACACTTTCGCTCGAAATGGTGTTGAACTGAGGAATTGTAAACCAAGCGGTTACTCGAAACCCAACTTTTCTTCGCATAGTCATTCTTGCTGTATCATCCAATGGAGTGAATGACACAAGGGTCTCTTAGACCACATTTCCACGTTACGAAGCTCTTTGGGGGTGACGATGTAGCAAAAAGTTATGGTCAAAAGCGCAATTTAGTTTTCTTGATAAGGGCTTTTTGAGCAGTTTGAGTAGGCCTTGCTAAAAGATTCGCGCAAAACGCGGTAGAACCCGTCAACAGACGCGAAAGTGTGCAGTTTCTTCTCGTCGTGGGCAGAAACCGACTGTCAGCCAACACTCGAGGAGACAAAAGGTGAGTCCAGAAGTAGTGTTTGCCTGAACGTTGACACATCTACAGCTTTCCTATTATTCATCTATTAACTTAATAAAGTCATTGGAATTCTTTAGTAAAAATGGCTTGGTAAACAGTCCTCAGCGTCTCTCACGTCTGTCCATTTTTGCTTTACCCTCTACAGGTTGCTGTAGAGGTTCGTGTCGTCTTCTTGAAAATCGGCGAGATCGACACGCTAAAAGAGCTCTACCACGCGGACGTATTCCTTCAGGCGAAGTGGCGTGAGCCTCGACTGGACAGTCGGACGCAAGAGGTGAGCCCCCTTTTTGTCCCTCCTCTCTTTGGCCAGTTCCATCTTGTCCGTCGGTGGACCGTGACGCAAAGCCCCGCGTCTGAGTCCATCTGGCCGGGTTGTGGTACAGAGGCGAGTCGTGCAGACGCCGGCCCACCGGCACGAGTGTGAAATCGTCGGCCATCTGCTCAATCGCCTCCCCACTTCTGTCGTCCATATGCTCAAGTCTTCAGGCGCAGCCTGGCAACTTGGCTGGAACTGCCGAGATGCGTTTGTGTGGGACGGAGCATGTGAATGGGAGTTGAGTCGGACTCGGTCGGTTAGGCTTATTTAAGGCCTCCGCAAAAGATTTGCTCCACTGTCATGTGCACTTCGCTTTTCCACGTCTCGTCAAACACTACTCCCCTTTCTACCATGTCGGGACTCCAACCCCAATCGCACACGTCATGCCAGATGTGCTACCGATCTTCTGTCTGGCCATTGGGTCGCAGAGGGCAGATGTGACTGTCAAAAAACGCCAACCCTCATCACATTTGTATACTCACTAATTCCTTATGCACTAATTAATGATAGAATAAGAAGTAATGCTATCAAGCGTGCTGGCAAATACGTGCTTGCCTCATTAACAATCCCACTATAAATGTGATTTAGGACAACTATGATTTGTTGTGAAAGTCTCCTTCGTACTGCGGTACAAGGGCCACGGTGGCTTTTTACGACTTGATTATTGATGTTTATAGTAAAATAGAAATTGTTAAAAGTTAGAAAGGTTATATGAGATGTTTCACTCTATTTTATTTAAGGTAGTAGAATTTTCCCACAATGATATGAGTAGATCCGTGGTTTTCATTGAATGCATCGCATATAAGTGATCTATTGGTAGTCTCGAAACTCCATTTATATACGAAAAATATGTAATGTAGTTTAGTGCTATAGCAAAAATATGCTTCCTTCATCGACAATCCCACCAAATAATGTGATATGGTCTTCCTTGAAATTCACATCTGCCCTCTGACTCAATGAAACATGTGCCAATATGGCGTCGTAGTTAACGTGTCGAGATTACACACTGCACTGTTATCGTTCGACTCCCGCTGGGGGTGTTGATAGGACTGATGCAAGGTCGAAATTGCAGTCCACTCCAGCCGGAATGAGAACAACTTTTGGGAAAGCAAGTCTTTGAGAAATTTAGTGGAAAACATAAGTCTATTTATATCATTGTGGGAAAATGTTATTACCAGTCCTTCATCACCTTAAACAAAATATGGTGAATACATCTCATATAAGTATTATGTTGGTAGTCTCTAAACTCTATTAATATACGAGAAATATGTAATGTAGTTGACTGCTATAGCAAAAATATGCTTACTTCATCGAAAATCTCACCAAAGAATGTGATATGGGGAAAAGCCTGGTCTTTCTTGAAATTCACATCTGCCCTTTGACTCAATGAAACATATTCCAACATGGCGTCGTGGTAAACGTGTCGAGATTACCCACTGCACTGTCATGGTTCGACTCCCGCTGGCTGTGTTGGTAGGACCGATGCGAGGTCGAAACTGCAGTCCACTCCAGCCGGGATTAGAACAAA